CATTGTTTTCTTTTCGCCTTTTCTGAATGAAAATGTTAATTTACAAATTAACATAATGTAGATATATGTATATATATATAATATGATATATATAATATATATATATATATAAAACAGGTTCTTAAGATAACAAAAAAAAAATGTTTATTATATAAGTGCAACAATTTTTACAAGAAATGCAAAAAAAAAATTGTTGCTTTTATCAATTACGTAATGAAATTGTTGTTGTTGTTGTTTCTTGTTATGTATATCTAGTTATTTATGTTTTCTTTTAATTGCTTAAATTTAAAAAATTGTATCGAGTCGAATGTTTTCTCTTTTTGCCAAAGTGTCGAGTGCTTAAATATAGGCCACTAAGTTAAGATGCCATTTCAATCAGTTATATATACACACATATATATCTATATATGTATATGTATATGTACATATATATGCATATATATATAGAGCTAAAATTTTTGATATTTTTGCTGCATTATAAATGTATTCATTTAAATGGATTTTTCATTTTATTTATTTGTTATTATTTTCTTTATTGGGCACATTTGCTGTGGTTAAGTTAGGTTAACCTAACCTAACATTTGCTTAATAATTTATTTTTGTTTTTGGTTAATTGTGTTTTTTTTTTATTTTTATTTTTTTTTTGTATTTTTTTGTTTTGTTTTTATTGCTGGGCGGATTTGAAACTGAAAACGGTGTTGGTTTCTTAGCTTCTGTTGTATATCTGAAATATCTGAAAACTGAGGAGATTCTTTTTGTTACACTTACAAGTGCGCTTGTTGGTGTGTGTGCGTGTGTGTGCGTGTGTTAACTGCGGCTTTTGGTTCAATTTGAATATTTCTGTTGGATTCAGACTCGTTTGTGTGTGCTACATATGCATGTATATATATACTTTGCATGTGTGTGTGTGCATGTGTGTGTGTATGTCTGTGTGTAACTGCATTGTAAATCCATAATACTATATGTATGCATGTGTCTGTATGTGTATAGCTAAAATAACTGTAAATAACTACACAATACCATTATATATATATGTATATAATGTTGATATGGTCTGTTTTAAGATGTGAACTTTTATGTATCTATATATATATTTGTTAATTGTTTAATTTACTGTCATTTCCACTATTTTATGTACATTTTTATTTAATTTCTCTTCCTTTCTAAACAAAATCTTGGCGGAATCTAAAAAACTTTTTTTTGGTTTATTGTTAATAATTATGTGCGTGTTTGTGTTTCGGTGTGTGTGTGTGTGCATGTGTGTGTGATTGACTGTATATCACCGTGGGCTTAAATTCATTTCTATTCATACAGCTATTCATATATGCATATTATATTATTAATTGATGCACATTCCGCAAAGTTGTTCAGAGACAACAAAAAAAAAAAAATTGTTTCTATGTATTTTTTCTTAATTGTTTTTTGTTTTTTTTTTGTTCTTCTGTAATTGATATTGTGTAAGTACGGTGTATAAAAAAGCATATGTACTGACGTCTGCTTTTCGTCTTGAATTGGAAGGATAATTTTTTATGCAATTTGTATTTGATTTCGTTTTCGGTTTGCTTCGTTAAATACAAGTTCCTTATGTTTCATATTTACAGTTATCGATATAGATATAAAGATATATTTTTGATTTTAAATTATATATATATATATACGATAATCCTTATGCGCTTGCTCGCTTGCAATTTTAAAATTAATTACGTATCATTTTTGTCTTTTCAATATTTGTTGTTCTGGAATTTTGTATTTCTTATTTTCATATCGATTACGTTTTGCATTGAAATTTTCGTATTATTTGCGTTATGTCTATAAGTATTTCTATATGTCTCAATGCTACAGGATCTATGCAAAAAATTTCACTGCCTACTTAACTAGTTTTTTTAACTAGTGTACTATAACTGTAACTGTATCCTTTAGCTTGTATCTGCATCTTGTGTCTCGTTTTCCGTTTATTGTTTATGTAAACTTGGCTAGCACCGCATATTGTTATTATATACCGTAATGTAACTCTACATATTACTATTTCTTTGCGTCTGTGTATGTGGGTTTGTGTATATACTACGTATAAAATTATAGATCATGCATGCATATATATGTCCATTTCTCACAAATTCTAACGCTAGCTCATTTGCGTTATTGGATTCCTTTGGCCCATACAGCGAACCCTTGGGTGTGCCCATGTGTGTGTGTGTGTGTGTGTGTGCCTGTGTGTGGGTGGGGTGTGAGTTAAATTAGTTTGCGAGTACTTAGTTCCTCTGCAGCATTTCATTTGCATATCGCATGCTCCTCGTAGGGGGGGCATTGGGCACATCAGAACATGGAAATCATAAGGCCCTATATTATATATATGTATTTAATGTACATATACATATGGAATGGTGAAAAATTAAAAAAGGAATTTCGATGGGGTGTTTTGTTTTTTTTTTTTGTTTAAGAAAACATTTTTATTTGATAAAGTTTCATTTATGTTCATGTATTATTGGTATGTTTTTTGTTTGTTTTTATCGTTATTACAATAATAATCATAATATAATAATAATAATAAAAAAAAAATTGATCATAATTATTACAATACGAAAAAAAAAATAGTCGATCTAAAAAATAATTAGAACTAAATGTTGCCATCATACGTTTTTTTTTTTGAATTCCCCTCTTTCTCTTAACACCCTCAACTTAAACATAGCTCATTATATATATATATATATGTATAAATATATATATACAAAATATATATATATATATGTATGTAAATATTATGCATAAATATTTGTTTAATTATATATGTAATTATTATTTAGCTAAAGCGTATGAAAATGCAAAGTATTTAACACGTTAAGAAACTAAATACATTTCAAATTAAAAAAAAGTATATATATGTATATATATATATATATTTATGTTTATATTAAATTAAATTTAAATAATGTTTCAACAAACTGCTGACAGCGGCAAAAATTTGTCTTGCATATTTTTCTTTTCTTTGAAAAAAACTTGTTTCTTTTCTCTTTACTATATTTTGTAAACTTTTTTTTTTAATTTTGTTTTGTTTTGTTTTTTATTTGAAGACGCAAATTGTATTTTTAAGGTATTGAAATGTGTTTGGTATATGTTTTTTTATTTAAAATTTTGTTTAATTTTTTTTTTAATTTTATTATATATATAATAATAACGCGGCAAAGTTGGGGCCTATGCAAAAAAGTTTGATGTGTTATTTTTTGTGGGTGTGTTGGGGATTTCTTCTTGTTCTTATTTTCGCGATTTTTTTTATTTTATAAAGATTTTGTTTAGCGTAAGCTTTAACCTAGCGAAAAAAATGTGTATATTATTATTTAAATTTAAATTTTTTTTCATTCACTTTTTTTATATGTATAGGAAAACAGCTTATTTTTTTGCGTTTACTGTTACGATTTTAACTTATGTTTTAGGCAAAAAAAATTGGCTCACTTAAAAATACTATTTTATTTTAAGTTATTTTTAATTTTACGCTTTAATTTGTGAAATTTCTTTAGTACGATATGCGGTTGTCTACTTTTTATTTTCTTTTGTTTTTTTTTCTGCTTTTTTGTTTTTGTATTTTCCAATATTTTAGTTCACAAAAAAAATTATGCTATTTGTAATGCAAATTTAAATTACTTTTAGATTATGTTAATAAACGGCATAATGCTTACTGTATAATCTATGTATATATATATATATATATATATATATATATATATATATATATATATATATATATATATATGTATATATATATATATATATATATGTATATATTTATATATATTAATATATTTTTATTATTATTATAAATAATAATTTAGTGCATTTTGCATTTATTTTGCTATATTGTTTATAAAGTTTACATTGTGTTTTACATAATATTTAATTTGCATTATCATTTTTTTTTTGTTTTACGTAAATTTAAAATTTACAAAATTTATTGTGTTTAGTTATTCATTGAATATTTGTTTTTTTATTTTTTGTTTTTTTTTTTTGGAGGGTGGTTTGTTTCTTATGCAAAGGAAAACAAGAAAACAAAATTGATGCAAAAAAAAACGCGCTTTTAGATTTAAAAGGTTAATTTCTTAACTATCTTTTACTTTGGGTTCGCCTTGTTGTTGTTCGTTTCTTCAGTTTTCAGGTGTTTTGTTTAAAGTTATGTATTTTTTTGTTTTTACAGTTGTGTGTGTGTATGTGTGAGTTGGTGCTGCTTGAGATCAAAAGATAGTTAAAACTTTTGTGTGCAACAAAAAAAAAAAAGTAATATTATAATAATATAGTTTTCTTGCTATGTTTTTGTTTTGTTTTTTGGAAAATAAAAGAACTTTTGTCTTGCCGTCAACATCTACATTTTGCTATTTACAGAACGGCCATGAGTTTCTAGATTTATATTGTATATTTATTGTTTATCTATTTACACTTAACAATGCGAAAAAAATTGGTAATTTTCATTATCATAATAAGTTTAATAATAATAATAATAAAATTCTACCGCCATTTGCTTACAGTCTTCAAGTCGTAAAGAAATCAAAAAAATCTTTTGCAAAATCTGCGCCTCAACAGAGTTTGCTTTTGGTAGAGTTTTTAGGTAGAGGTGTTGGTTGTGGCGAAGATTAAAAGGGGCGGGGATCGGGGGGCATTATATTTTGTATGGGTCTCGAGGGAAATGTTGGGATCGTGGCTGGGGGCTGGGGGGGCAAGTTTAAAGCCAACAATTTAATACTTTTGCGCTGCTCTCAATCGCACCTGCGCTTCGCATAGCGTCTCTAAACTTTTTTAGCTACAACTACGATAAAAAAAAAAAAAAAATGTAGAGCTTTATCAACTAGTTATATATGATGTGTATGTTATGTGCTATGTATATATCGTTATATATATATATTTGTCTCTATATATATGTATATAAATATATATATATATGCAAGGATACATATATATATATATATATATATATATATATATATATATCGAATTAGCCAGTGGCTAAACATTTTGTGGGGCCGCTGCCAAACTTAATCACAAGTAAACGTCATCTGCATTGCACTCTCCGGAGTTGCTGGTTCCTCTGCCAGTTCGCTGGCTTAGTAGTTCCACGCTGCTGTTGCCGGCGCCGCAGCTGCTGCTGCTGCTGTCGCCTGCTGCGCTGCGGCGCAGTGCTCGTCGGCGTCACCATTACTGCTCAGCCGACGCACGCGCACCAGTCGCAGCTTCTCCTCGTTGATTACCTTCAGCTGCTTTTCCGCATCGCTGGCGAGGCGCAAGGCATCCTCGTCCGGCTGCTGCAGCTGCGCCAGCGACGACTGTTCGTCATCGTCGTTCTCCTCCTGCTTGATGTGAACCTCGGGCTCCATGAAGCGCTGATCAATCTCCAGCTGCGCATGATCCTCGTGCTCCGCATCTGCATTGGAGTCGCCGCCCTTGACGCTGTCGGTCTCATCGCGACCGTAATCGGAGGCCTGCATGACGCAGACGCCGTTTATGATGCGCTCGCTGTTGCTGCTGGTGTCGCCGGCAGCGACGCCGCCAACAGCGGCGATAGCTGCGCCAGCTGCTGCGGGCGTGCCAGCGGCCGCCGGATTGACCCACTGTGGTGCCGCCGGCTTGCGACGCGAGCTGCGCGCCGCATTGCTCATGTAGGCGGCAGCGGCGGCGGCTGAGGCGAGCGCGGACTTCTGCAGCGCCTTTTCATAGTCAGATATGGGCGTGCTCTCCGGCTCGTGGCTGCCCTCAATGGACTCGTTGTCGCTCATATTGTGAGCGCTGGCATCCAGCTCCAGTTCATCCTGATAATCATCGGTGCGCTCGCGCTTCAGCGTTGGCATCGACAAATCCAGCCCGCTCATCTGCTCCTTGAAGGCCTGATTCAGTGCCTGCAGCTCATCACCGCCGGCGGCGCCGACCGCAGCAGCCGCAGCTGCCGCCGCACCAGCAGCCGCTGCAGCGCCCGGTATGCCAGCCAGGCTGCGTCCAAGCAGCGCGGCGGCGGCAAAGTACGGTGGGTATGGTATGGGCGCACCACTCAGACCCATGCGCTCCTTATGTAGCTCGACGAGACGCTGCTGCAGCAGTATGCGAAACTGGACGGGATCGAAGGGCGTGGCATTGGTGTTCTCGCGACTGGGTATGGGATTGTCCTGGCCAGGCTGGCCGTGGGGTACCTGCTGCTTGAGCCGCATGCGATGATTGTGGAACCAGTTGGTGATGGTGCGCGTGGCCAGGCTCAGCTCGTTGGCCAGAAACTCGATGGTGCCCACATTTGGATACGGATCGAGGGCAAAGGCCAAGCGCAGCGCCTCCTTTTGCTCCTCGGAGAAGAGCACACGCTGCTTCTTGCTGGGCGGTGCACCGCCCACCGATGAACCCACCGAACCCGGACCCGGGCTGCTTGTATAGAAATCGTTCGTATCATTGCTCGACGTATCGCTGCTGTTGTCCTGTTGATTGGGCCCGGTGCTGCGTCGGCGCTTGCTCGCCTCCCGTCGCTCGTTCTTCAGCAGCTGTAAACGCTCCACATTGTTGGCATCGCTCAGCCAAAGTTGCATGCGGATGAACGGCTCGCGACCCTTGATGGAGAGCATGTGCCAGGGCTTCGGTTTGCTAAGCAGCTCCGAAACAGAGCCCTGCGATAGCCCCAACACCGCCTCGCCAAAGATCTTCTGGCCAATGTTGTTGGCGAGCAGTGCCTCCTTAATCTTGGTGGTTATATCGTGCGTGTCCAGATCCTGTGTCAATGCGGCCATCTCATATACGGTTGGCGACATATGCTGATGCAGACTGCGCATGGCATTTGGCGCGTGTGCTCCACCATGCACCGGCATCATCATCGGCTTCTTCTCGCCGCTGACCGGCGTGGAGGCTGCAGCCGGATTACCAACGGGCTGGCCACCGGGCGTGCTGGCCGCTGGCAGACTGATTGCATGCTGTGGCGGCAAGCCCGGCGATGTCAGCAGCATATTCTGATGATGCAGTAGCTGTGCCTGCTGCTGTGCCTGCTGCTGGGCCTGCTGCTGCTGCTGGCTCTGCTGTGCCTGGGCTTGGGCCTGGGCCTGCTGCACGGCGGCGGCTTGGGCAGCAGCTGCCTGTTGCTGCTGTTGCATGGCCGCTGACATCGCGGCCGCTGCGTGCATCTGTTGCATGATGTGCTGCGCTTGGGCTGGCTCCTGTAGCTTCAGTTCGTTCATCATCTTCTGCATGGGTAGCGTGGCCTGCATCTTGTTGGCCAGTCCCTGCGGCATCTGAGGGCTGCCGCTGTAGCTGCCCGTGCGCATCAGCTTTTCGGGCGCTATCTTGTACTGACTGGCGACCAGCTTGTGCACTGCATTCTCATCCTCGAGAAACATTTTCATGCGTATGAACGGCTCACGTCCCTTCTGGGTGAGCATGTGCCAGGGCTTGGGCCTGGCAAGCAGATCGGATACGGAACCCTGCGACAGACCCAACACGGATTCGCCGAATAGCCGCTGTGAGATGCTGTACTGAGACAATGCCTCCTTGACGCGCCGCACAATGTCCTCCGTGTTCAGATTGTTGAACATATCGAACTGTTGCTGGGTAATGGGTGGCAGCACCGCCTTTGTGGGCCGCTGTGGCTGTGCATGATGCGGCGTAACCGGCGGCTGTGTGATCAACGAATTGGTTATGGATGCCATCCGTTGCAGGGGACTGGCTGTCGCCGCAAACTCCTCGCCCTGGCTGCTCAGAGCCGGTGGCAGTATCGAGTTGCTCAATGGACTGGGTGCCGCCGAGTTGCTGCCATGGCCGCTGGCAACCGCTGCGGCTGTCGCGACATTCGGATTGCTGCTGCTGACTGCGGCGGGCGGTGCTGGTGGTGCTGGCGGTGCAGGCGTATTGCCGCCTTCGGATTTGCGAACATGCGGCAGTGCAGGGAAACTGCGCTCAGCATCGTCGCCGCGTTCGCCATCCTTGGAGCTGCTGCTGCCGCTGTGCTGCTCCAGGGACGAGCGCTGTCCGTTCAATTTAATATCCTTGCCGGCCAGCGACAAATCCTGCGCACCGTTCAGCACCTGCTGCTGCAGTGCTATCAAACTGGAAAAGTTGGGAAAACTGGCGGCCTGCGCCTGCTGTTGCTGCTGCTGCTGCTGTTGCAGCTTAACGATCTCACGCTCGAATGCATGACGCATATTCTCATCGGCGGCCATTGCCGCGGGGAATGGATTGCCAGCTGCTCCAGGCATGGCCGCGGCTCCGCCAAAGAACGGCGACAACAAAAAGCTGCAACAAGCAACAAAAAAGATTAATACTCAAATCTATAGATTCGAATTTGTATATTAGATAGCATCTGCACGTTCATGATGCGGACGCAGCAATTGACTTTCCATACAAATCGTTCAATCAAGCCTCAAATTGACTTTCGTGCCGATTCTTTATGTCAAGCCAATCGGTTTAGCTTGCCACTATGAACCGGTTCAGACTTGAACTCTAAGCGACACTCACCTGGGGAAGGCTGCTTCGCGTGGAGTACGCGCCATTAGCTCCTGATAGAGACGCGCCATTTTGTCCTGTGCCAGATCCTCGTGACGCAAACGCTGCTGCTGTTCACGCTGCGCGGCTTCACGCTGTTCGCGCTGCTCGCGTTGCTGCTGCTGCTGGTGCACGGCAACGGCGGCGGCGGCAGCGGCCGCTTCGCGCTGCTCACGCTGCGCATGCTCGGAGACATGCAGCTGCTGTTGCTGCTGCTGCTTGATCTGATGCTCCACCTTGAAGAAGGGCGAGCTGCAGCTCTGTGGCGGCGATTTGCTGTCCTCATTGCTGTGCGTATCGTCGCCGGCATGGCGACGCTGATGCTCCTGCTGCTGCTGGGCGGCAACCACGTTGCTCTTCATCAGGGACGAGGCCTCGCTGAGTATGTGTGCGAGGCGATCCTCAGACATGGAATCATCGCCGCCAGCGCCGCGACCAGCATACTGTGGCAGTCCGGAATCTGTGCGAAAAAAGCGACAGCAAGGTTAAGTTAGGAAATTGGAGTGAGTTAATGTTGTATGTTGTATATTGATCGTAAAGTGGCATCGCCCATTAAACGTTATAAAGTTTATGCGCATTCGGTTTTTGCTCATTTATTGAAGCCCAATTGATAGCAGCTACGAGCCAAACCACACCAAACCGAAGTGGCCTGGCCAACGGGCCAATTAAGCCATAAAGCGTTCAAAAAGCCAGCGCAAATTTGTGGTCATAAAGCGGCGCAGCATTTGAAAAGCCACTCTGCTGCACTTTTGATTTCTGGCCACGCACTGAGCGAAAAACCCTTGACCAAAATATAAATATAAATGATATATTATAAGTCCAAAACTTCAGAAGTATGTTGAAAAAGTGAGTGGTTTAGCTAAAAATTATCAACCCTATGCAACAATATGCATAAATTGAACTGCACCTCAAACCCCGGTCTAAATAGAATGCATTGCGCCCCAACTTTGTTGTGCAGTGTACATAAATTTGATAAACATTTTGTGCATTATAAATTCCAAGGCAGCCACAGCAAATCCATGCCACCAAGCCGCCACATGAGCTGCATGCAGCTACTCTCCAGCCACCCGCTGCACCCCAACCCCAAAAAGCTCAATTATAACACCATTTGATTTTCAATCAACAAAACCGCGACCACAGACAAAGCGAACCGTGAACCGGAGCAACAAAAACATCAATGGAACAAAAATATAAAATCTAGGAAAGAGTTCAGTCACAAAAACAGAACGAAAAAAAGGAGCTGGATGGACCCTCAAATAGTTCAATGCAAGCGGCGCGCTAATTTGGCACGCGCCATGAAACCAAAAGGTGGACTGAGAAATAGCTGGCAGTTGGGGCTGGGGAGAACATGGAGCTGGGCAGGCCAAAGGCTCATCGAAGCGAGCGAGCAATGGCGTGTATGGTCCAGGCTGAATAAACGAAACACGAGTCGAAATGAATAAATGAATGTGAATTCAATTGCAATTGAAAGAGTACATGGCGTACAACAACAACAACAGCAACAGCAACAACAACAAAAACCATAAAAAAAGATGAAAATGCTTTGCACAAATTCAATTGAAATGAAGCTTTTTGGTTCCACTCGTTAAATGTCGCTGCAAGAGAACAAACGAAATAAAAATCGGAAAAAAATCGGAAAAAAATCGAAAAAAAGAATCGGGAAAAATAAAAACATCGACTGCTAAATTGTAAAATAATCGCACAAGTGGTTGAGCTATATGCCGCGTGCTCTTTGTGTCCTGCGGTATTTTTGTGGCTGCGAGCCAACAAACATCAATCAGCGCAATTGGGCGCTGGGAGTTGGGGGGCGTGGCAGCGCAACGAAATAACTGAAAATCGCTTTACAATTGCCAAAAGCATAATCGATGCCCCAAAGGAGCAAACACTTGTCCAGCGCAAACAGCTAGCGCAGGATATTGGGTTGGGTGAGGGGAGGGCAGGGTTGGACCAGCACAGGAAACGGAAATCAACACATGAATGACAAATGTTTGGTCGCCCGTTGTCAATTGAAGCGAACGATTTTGGGCGAATTGAAAAGTGTTTGCCATTGAAATACAATAAAGCTAGAAGAGCGACTGCCTCGGAGATGGACAAAAGGCGATAAAAGGGCCAACTACAATAGATCGTAACGTTTCGCAGAGTGACGACACATGCCCCACCGCTTGCCGAATGCCACATGCCACATGCCGCAGCCACAGCGTTTTGGATTTTACATTTCATCTATTTTTTTTTGGAAATTTTTTTTCTTAATTTTTTCCATTTTTTCATTTAAGTGCTTTTTTTTTGTTACTTTAGCTCTTGGTCATCGTCATCGTCGTCGCTTCATTTGGGGATTACAAAGTGTTTTTGTGTTATAAAGTCGAAGATGACATTGATGACACCTGGCTGACCCCACGCCAGGACAGACACAGTGGCCACATAGGATATGGGATACAGACACAGACAGCTTAAGCGCTCTTTAGCCGGAGACGGAGATGGTCTATGGCAAGTGGAACTGAAAATGAAACTGAAAAATGGAAATGGAAACGGAAACGGATCTGGGGTTGGAGTTGGAGATGGAGATGGACACAGGGCAGGGCAATGCACTGTCAACTGTCACACATAACCTCAACAATCAATAAGCGGCTGGCTAACACTTGGCTTGGGCTTTAAGAAAGGCTTTAAAGAAATATTTGTAAAGGACACATTGAACTGACATTTTATTGGAATGAATTTAACCAATTAGACGAATAACAAGTTTGGCAAATTCTGGCAAGGTCTTAATGGTGGCATAATTTAGAATGTTTTCTTCTAGCTGAAACTCTACAAAATTTCGTATAAACTATTTCAAAATTTTAAAATTATTTTGTATACTATTTAAAAGAGTTTTAAATTGTAGCTCAAATTTTAAACCCCATGAATGCCTATTGAAAGGTGAGTTTTTAAAATCTTTTAAACAACTGACAAAAAAAACAACAACTTTTTAAGCAGCTCAGCATGGGGCTTGCTGGATTTGCAGACAGACGCGACTTTTAAATAACGCAATGCCCCAACCTATAGATATATAAATATGTACATTTGAATATTTGTCGTTCTTTTTTTTTTGTGTGTTACCGTTGGCCATTTTTTTGTCTGTGTTTTTTTTATTTGTGTGTGTTTCTCTATGTGTGTGTGTGTGTGTTGTTTGTAATTTATTAGAGAGGAACATGTTGACCAAATTGTCATTCAAAAGGATATGGATTTTACGCGAAAAAATATAGATATGAGCTATCATATTCCATATATATATTTTTATATATATATATCTATATATGTATATATATTTGTTGTAGTCCGCACCAGCATTAGCCACCACCTGTGCCACAATTTGCTTGATGAATATTTGCCTTTTATAACAAATCAGACGAATATTCTCGCCAGACACGATGAGTGCTCACAGCAGTCCCCCCAGCCCAGCCCAGCCCCCGCAACGAGCCCTATCCCCGACCCTGCTCATTCAACTGTATATTTTGTCATTTTTTTTGTAAATATTTTTTTTTGTTTTGCTTTTGTTGAGTTTTTCCTGTGGAGTTTTTCCTAATACAATAAATATTTGCCAGCACACAAATATGTAATCATACTTCAGTCGCAAAAAAGGGCTTATAGTTGTCTGGTTGGGGCTGTGTGGGGTATAGGGGCGGGTTTGCTGCCACAATTGAACTGGCGCATTGAAATTGGCACACGCACGCAATTTGCATTAATTGCAAGAAAAATTTTCTAATTAAAATGCCAGTCAGCTGTGTGTGTGTGTGTGTGTGTGTGTTTGTTGTCCTGGCCGGATCAGAGGCAGGAGCAAGGCCGATGGCAGCTCTGGGGGGCGGTATTAGCAGAAGTGTCAATTAAAAACGAAGGCAGAAGCCCAGACAGTGAGATACACCTACTTGAGCGTGGATTGAGCTGCTTCAGTGGCTTTCTTCTAACTGAGCTGTTGGCAAACGTAGCATGCCAAATGAAGTGGCTGCTGTGGTAGGGGGCAGCAGCAAAGGGGTTGCCGCGGGGGCCTTCAAGTGGTAAGAGCTGCTTCATCAACAACAACGGCGCGCAACATCAAACGGCAAAGCGCCAATTTCTCAATTCCAATTGCTGGCAAATCATTCAAGAGGGAGTTGAAATTAGATTTGGGGCGCTTGGGTTGGGGCTTATGAGTATTTTTATTTGCAATTAAGCGCAAAAATATGACAAGAAATGTGCCCCTGCAACATGCGCTGGCTGGCTCAAGGTAATTTGCAAGTTTTATTTTCATTTTGATTTGCTGTGTATTCATTTTATTTTATTTGTTTTTTTTTTTCATTGTATTATTGTTGTCAAAGTTCATTACAAAGTAATTAGCCCAAGCAACACACGAAATTATAAATGAAAAACTGGCAAAATGAAAAGGGGAAATAAAAGTTCAGCAAGTGCAACACGAGCGCGCTAGACATGTGCAACATTTTGCGGCATAATGGCAAAATGTCGAAGACAAACTTTTGCCTTGTCTATCTACGCGGCGCAAAGGGCGTGGCATCAACTGGCTGCACATAACGTGTAGAAGCCACATTTGTGTACAAGCCATTTTTTTTTTGATATTATATATATTTTATAAATTATTAAAATGTATATTTATCAATTTGTTGACTTGCTGCAGCTTATTCATTTGCCAATTGAATGATTAGTATGGGACGTTTATATTTATTCGTTATGCACCTTTGATTCACTTTATGAATACAACTAAGCACGCAGCCAGTCAATGTCATTTTGATTTAATTCAAATGTATCACGAATTATTCATTTGCACTAACTGCTCTGACTCATTGACTGAGCTAACAACGAATTCGTATACCCTACTTCTATACACCTTGGGCGAAATCAAAAATTTGAATATTCATATAAATATTTTGTACACATATTTAATAGCATTTATAAAAATTGTTGAACGAGCTTTATGCTAATTTATGTTTATTAGATTTTCTGTTGCCACCACCCCCAATCCGCCACCCCACGCATGTGAGCCACGCCCCATTGTTATGCTAAGCACATTCCGCGCAAAGCAGCCGCTCCTGTTGCCCCGCCCCTCCCACCGAACAGTTCGCATAAAGCAATTTTCATAAAATCAAATAAAATAAATTACAATCAAAGCGAAAAATAGAAAATGTATAAAAGAAAAATACTTAAATTTGAGGCCAAAAAGCGCAGGAATTGATACGGCCCGTTGGCCACTTAGTCAGGCTGTGCAAGTGTGTGTGTGCGAGTGTGTGCGAGTGTGTGTGTGAGGCACATATTTCGCTTTATGGCTGGTGACAAATAATTTGTGAAACGGCGGCAAATAAAAGTGCCAGGCAGCGTTTCGTCGTCTGTCTGTTTGGCATTTGGAATGCTTTTGTCTTTAGCTCCTCGATCCGTTAGAGGCCCACACCCGGGTCTGTCCCGTCCCCCCCCACACACACACACAACAACTACTATTAATGCTCCCTTGCCACACTGCGCTTGCCACAATGCCGCTTGCTCTGTGCGCTAGCTGTTTTCTTTTGTCTTCTATGCCGCGTGCTTTTCTATTTTGGGCCACGCACTTTTCGCCCGACTTTTCGACTTTCGGCTGCTGATGGTTGGCTAAAACAAATAGACGACGTCTGCTAAAATTATGTGTTAATATGCTAGTATTATTAGCTGCCATAACGAGTTGCGTTGGCCACATTTGCTGCTGCTGCTGCCGACAAATACAAATATTTGCCATTACGTATACGACTTGTCTGACGGGGTTAAAATGACGTCGGGCTTTTTTTTCATTAATTCCCTGCCCACTTTTAAATTGTTGCCATGCTAAATGCAGTTTGAATTGAGCACTCAAACTAGTCTATTGTAAACTCAACCTATAGCGCTCTTTACCATCTCCTCTTCTTGCTACTTGTGTGCATATTTGTTGTGGCAAAGCCACATTGCAACGCACTGTGCTAACGCAGGACTGCCTATTGTGACTATCGATAACATATTGATACTGGTTGGGCATATTAAATACGGATTTCATTGCATATCACTTCAAATTGTTATGTTCCTTTAATCATCGATAGCGTTAATCGGTAGTACAGTCATAAATCGATCACATTTATCGATATTATATACATAAATCGATCATATTTGTCAGTTATACGTTTTTTTTTTCGCAACTAGCGTAAACTTTACTTGATTTTGCCTAATAAATGGCATTCCTAACTTTGTTTTATAACTTTTTCAATAGTTTTTTGCTCTTGAGCTTTTTTTGCTAAAATTTTCCACTCGCTTTGCCCGTGCGCCGTTTAATATGCAACAATTGTCGTCAAATGTTTAACAAAAACAAAACCAACAAAAAACAAGCAAAAAACAAGAAAATATTTAACGGCAGAGCAAACCAAAAACGCGAAAAGTTTTGCGTCAACCAGGCGGGCGGCGGTACTCCTGCCCTGGAGCTAACCCTACCACTACCCCAACCGCTACCCCTAGATGGGGCAACACTGGTTTACCAATCGTTAGGTAGCCGCCCTTGGCGTAACTCCGCATTGCAACTCGCAACTCGCAGCTCGCAACGCCCCCGGCCCCCGGCTGCTACTCAGCTGCTGCCGCACTTTGTCCAGCACAAAGACGACTTCAAACGCGCGGCACGTCAACGTTTTGCATGCCTCGTTGAAGGCAGCCGTTGCATTGCGTTTTTGTTGTTGTTGTTATTGTTGTTGTTATTATTATTGTTGTTGTTGTTGTTGTTGTTGTTTACATTTAATTCTACTTTTCGTTTGCTGTTGTTGTTGTGTTTTTAATTGTTGTTTTTATTTTTATTTGTATTATTATTTTTTTTAAATGTATTTTGTTTCAAGCCTTTCACAGACCAATTGTCACGGCAGTCGTCGCGTCGCCCCATTCCATTTCATTCCATTCCATTCCCACTCGTTCCACTGCGCTCGCTGGCGCTTTAAACAATTACAATTCAAAAATCATTGACGCGCTGCGCTCGCTCAACTTTTCAGTCCACAAACTGACTTCAAAGTATTGCAGCATGTTGATTCCAAGCATTATTATTATTATGAAAATATTAATTATTGTTATTTGATATTTTAACGATTTAACTCAAATTGTATGCAATTTGCGCCCTTATGCTAGGCAATAGTTTCATGCAACTGCAACTGCTTTAAGCCCCGACAGAGTATCGGCCTGTGGCATGCAGCTAAATGTCTATTTGCTTATAATTAACTGACAGCAGCGGGCTGGAGCGGATGGGAATGGCGAAGGGGGGGGGGGTGGGTCTAGGGGCACGGGGGTCACTAAACACATTCAATAGCTGAAGGAAAAAAAAAGAGTATGCAGCGCCGGCGTTCCATATGCATAAATATATAAACAGTTAGTTTAGCTGTCATGAGTAATCGTCATAAATTAATTGTCAACATTTGCATGCACTTAGACACACACACACACACACACTCACACACACGCACACACATGTGCATTGGGCAAACAGAGGGCCACAGGAAAAACTTTGATTAACTTTACCAAGCCGCAAGTCGCTTCGGTTAGAGAGGGGTTTGTGGCGGGCGGCTGTTTGGGGTAGGTGCGTGTTTGTGCCACACAGTTCGTACTTTAAAAATACTTTTGCATTGACATATTTGTAGCACCGCAACCCACCGCACTTTCCGCCCGCGGTTTGCACGTCTGGCATAGTTCTGTTGTGCAGGCCCATAAAATTGATGACTAATCAATAAAACTTAACCAAGACAACTACAAACAAACAAATCGAAAGGAGAAAGGAGAACAATCGAAAGGAACGGAGAGTTAGATATACGATTATACAGAAATTTATGGTACGTAATCGTTGAGCAAAGATCAGACTTCACCATTCGATTGTTGGTTGCCCAGGTCCGCGGTTCGAGTTGTAAACAAAAATTGTTACGCCTAATGTGCAAATTTGCCAAAATTTATGGCGACAGGCGAAATGGTTGCATGAAATGCATCCAGTCGTCGCCATCGTTGTTGCCCGTTGGCACGTTGATTATACGCAAAAATCAAAAATAATTAAAATTTCACATTTTAATGTTTTGGCCGCAAGCCAAGAAAATTCAAATGAAAACAAAATAACAAAAACACGCGCGAAACAAGCAAATATGGCAGGAAAGGGGGGAATGAAATGCGCAGTGTTTTAATTTAACTGCTTGAATTTCAAATTATTTACTTAAACTAAGCCAACCATATGAAACACATGAGCTTAGATCAGTTGCCTAATTTCAACAAAGAAGCAACTATATGGAAGAGGCAAGAAAGGTTTATATGAAATGGAATGAAGGAATAACAAATTGTGTTTCAAGTCAATTGTTTCAAACTAATGGAACGAAACGGAAATGAGTCATGGGCATTGGCCCAGACTGGGCAAAGAATGCCGAACAATTATTTAATGAAATAATGCAAAACAGTTAAGTGGATAGTTAAAGGACAAAACCTTATATTAAGATTTGGTTTAATCTAATCCATCTATTCGAATTGAATATTTTATATATATTTAAAGAGGGAAGAATGGAGCTGACAATTAATCGTAAGAAATTGTCAAGTATTCTTTAAATTTTCCCTGTCTCAACATGGAATTTATATCAGCTCGCAACAAACGAAGCTCGTAGCAAGCAGCAACTGTCAGCTGTCAAAACTGTTTTGCAACAGTCTGGCCCCGCTGTGTGCGACAACCTGTCAACTAATTAAGTTGTGCTGCGTGTCCGCTGATAAAAGCTAAAAACTAACTAAATCTAGTAGCTGCGACTAATTAGCTAAGCAACACAAAAACAAAAAAAATAAATAAAAATGACTAAAAACGGTTTGGCACTCACCTTTCTTGGGTATGAGGGATTTGAGCAGCATGACGGCATTATCATCACAGGCCCAGGCATGCATCTTGCGGTAGCTGTCACGACCTTTCTCGGTCAGCTTATCCCAGGGCTTTGGCTTGCTCAGCAGCTCGGAGACGGTGCCCTGGGACAGGCCCAATATGTATTTGGCAAACAGACGCTGCCCGATGTTGTGCACGGAGAGCAGCTCGCGTACGCGCCTCGAGATGTGTAGCGTGTCGAGCGCTTGGTTCGCATATTTGTCCATGTTGTAGCGCAGCATCTCCTGCAGCTTGGCCTCCATGGGATCACCTTTGGGTATCAGGGATTCACCCAGTCGGCCGGCCATCGATACGCCCGGCTGCAGTTGCAGCTCAGCATCCGCAAACCGAAAATGCGCACGGGCATCCTGGCCAGCGGCTGCTGCGGCCGCAAACTGGAATGCCGGCAGGCTGGGCAGATTGGGCAGAAAATTGGGTGCACCCAGTGCGGCGGCATGCTGTGCATGTGCAGCCATCGCCGCGGCGGCAACTGCCGCATTCGCGTTCGGCGTCAGACTGTTATTGTTGTCCTCGGCAACGACATTGGCAGCGGCCGCTGCCTGCAACAGCGACTTATTGCCGTTCAGCGTACTGGCAATGCTGGCTGCCAGTTGGGCGGTGCTATTTGGCGTGCTGTTGGCGCTAGATGAGTTCGAGTCGGCGCCATGATGCAGATGGTGTCCCGCATGCAAAAGCTGTCCATGCGAATGGCCATGGTGGTGGCCATGATGATGATGATTTAGTGGATCGCTGCCGGCTGCGCTGCTGTTGCTGCTATTGCTGCTGTTGTGGAGATGTTGCTGTTGATGCAGTTGTGGCTGTTGCTGCTGCTGCTGCTGCTGCTGGAGCTGGTGCTGTGATGCGGCATCTAGGCGTGCGGATTTAGAATTGGAACAAGAGGAGTGATTGGCATGTGAGAAAGTTGAGTTAACCAATTGACTGAGCAGCACAGTGGACGAGGGTCCATGTTGTTGCTGTTGATAGTGTTGTTGTTGTTGCTGTTGTTGTTGTTGTTGTTGCTGCTGTTGTTGCTGCTGTGGCGGCGGAGGCGGCGGCGGCGGCGGCAACAGTTGCTGCTGCACCGCATTGGCATTTTGATAAATTGTTGGCGTTTTGCTCCCTGTTGCAGCTGCTGCTGTTGCTGAGCTCGTTTCAAAGCCACGCCTCCAATAGCTATTGACCAGCTGCTCTTCCAGCGTTTGGCCAGCTGCGGTCTCAGTGGCTCCCTCATCTGCATCTAAGATTTCGATTTTGGGTTGCAAATTGGTCTCGGCCAATGTTTCATTCTCAGGCGTTTCCACAATGTTTTTGTTTGTTTCTGGATTGGCAGTAGCTGTAGCTGTAGCTGCTGCTCCTGTAGCTGCTGCTGCTGCTGCTGTTGTTGCTGCTGCTACTGCTGCTTCTTCTACTGCCACATGATCAGCTGTTGCTGCGTCTACGGCTTGTTGTTGTTGCGGCATTTCTGCGGGAAACAACAAAAAAGTTGTGCCTTTTGTTGTTGCTACTTATTTGCAATGATCTATCATAAAATACTTTTGTTTGTTTTTTTTTTTTGTTTTTTGGTTTTTTATTTTATTTTGTTTATTTTTGTTTTTAATATTTAGTATTTGTTTGGTATACTGATTTCAACAACATCCATGGAACAAAACGCCAAAAATTAATCAAAAGTTTTTTTTTTAGATTTCTTTTCAATATTTTTTTTGTTTGCCAACAACTTTTCGCTTGCCAATTCGTACAACAAAACAACAAAGAAACTGTATGTGTGTATGTGTAATTAGAGGCTCATAAATATATATTGATATATATGTGTATATGTATGTAGTACAAGAGAGATAGAGAGAGAGAGAGAGAGAGAGAGAGAGAGAGAAATAGATAGCACTGAAGCGTGTTGTTGTTGATAAACACAAAACAATAATAACAATAAAAATAATAATAATTGTAATAATTATAATAATAATAATAATAATGATGATTGTCAACTGTTGTGTGTGGCTTTCATATATGTATGTCAATATGATCGATAAACATGCAGAGCAACTCAAAGTGTATAAAACAACAATTAACAACAACAACAACGACAACAATGACAACATACGCAGACGTTTCGATGCAAATATTGTAAAAATTAAAAAAAAAAAAAATTACCACAAAGAATATAAATAAAGTAAGAGAGAAAGGAAGAGACGAATGCGTCTGCCTCAACTGATCGTCGCTCAGTTTTGTTCGCTTGTTGACAGCCATAAAAATTGGCGCCGCAGTCTGTTGGCGCCGATAAGAAAGTTACGAACGGTACGATGTCCCGTTAGTTAAATAAGCAAGAGCAATAATATGGCCCCCGCCTGGGCGCCGTTCGGCGGTAGAAATCAAAGCGAACGCTTGCAACAAGCGACAAAACAGCAGCGCGCATGTGAAACGCTGTGGAACGCGAACGAACGGAATGGAACTGTACCGTTTGCTGGTACAGTTATGGCATTTGTTATACTCACCATCGCTGGCTGGATCGCTGGTGCCATTCTTGAGCGCCTCGGCGGCCAGTGCCTTGGTGCGTTCCAGGAGCAGAGCTTGGAATTTGTTGGGATCGTTGGCGCAGGCAGCGGCTGCTGCGGCCGCCGCGGCTGTGGCAATGGCCGACTGTGGACTGAGTACATTCAGGTCCAGTGGACTGCTGCGGAAAAGAAAATCAAATGGAAATTTAATGTTAAATTGTTTCTAAGCGGGCGCAGTTTGGGATTGTCTATGAAATGGAAATGAAACAGTTATAGGTTAGTTTTGCGTTGAAAATGAAACAAGGTAGTTTGCTTTTTACGATTGTAATCGCAACTATACAAATTACATCTTTAGCTTAGGTGAAGTTTGAGGTTAGGCATGAGTTGGAAATGAAACGAGTTAGTTTGCTTTCAATCGCAGTTTGTTTAGGTTGCGATTGTACTTGCAGTCATTTTAGTTGCACTTCTAGCTTAGGTTAAGTTAGTGGTTAGGTATGAGTTGGAAATGAAACAGATTAGTTTAGTTTTTTAGGGTATGCTTAGGGTATGCGCGACTTGAGTGAGTGCCTATGATGTTTACTTACTGCTGCTCTTTTTTGATTTTCAGCTCATTGCTTTCCGCTGTGGCTGTGGCATTGGACATTTCGGCATCCTGCTCCTCGGCATCATCCTTATCGGTTGCATCGTCGATCCGATTGTTTACCATGGCGGCATGTTGCTGCTCGCTGTTGTCCATATCCTCATCATCGTCCGCATCGCGCAGCTCATTATCATGATCATTGTCATCGTCATCGTCATCATCGTCGTTGTGCTGATGGGTCGATGTTAGTTTTGTTTTGAATGCGTTGTTATTGTCGCTGCTCTGGCTACTGTGATTGTTGTTATTGTTGCTGTTATTATTGTTGTTGCTGTTGCTATTGTTGTTATTATTTGTTGCGGCTGCGTTAACAGCGGCCGCCAATGCAGTAGCCTCGGCGAGTGCCTCATTTATCTGTTGCTTATCCAAGCGCGCTTCCAAACGCATAATATGCTGTCGCTTCACCTCCAAATGCTCTTCGAGCCTCTGGATTTGTATCAGGTGAGTTTGTTCAAGAGCGCGCAGCCGTTGCAACTCATCCAAAAGTGCTTTAATCTGCAATAGATGAAAAGAAAATGCAACAATTCATTATTCTGTGAACTTAAGTGGAGTGGGCATATCTATAATTCGTATTTCGCATTATTGTCTTTTCTTGCTCTACCGATCACAGCGCTGCCAGTGCATCGTTTGAGAATACCGCATAAAGCGGAATCAAAAAAAGAAGAGCATATATTGGGATAAATAATTTAGTAGGAACTTTTATTCAGTTAGGAGAGATTAAAAATGAGACATGACGAAGGGTTTTCTTTTTTTTGTGCTAATTTTCAGAGCTTTTCGTTTGAGTTGACAATCAGTAGTTGATAGACATTTGAACTTTGAGGCAAGGGAAAGCTGCGAACTTTTTGCTTGCATATTTTGCGGCAACACCGCAAAGGTTCTTCTTTTATTTTTTTAAATGCATTTTTTTTTTAATTTGCACACATCAATACTTATATGCGTGCAAGCAGCTAGAAGGCAGGGCGGGTCTGATACAGAGGAAATCGCGTCGCGTCGCATCGCATCGCATCGCAACGGAACGCAACGCAACGCGTCGTGTATGTGCAAAAGTTCGAGAGTTATAAAATAATTTTTAATAAAATTAACAACGAGTACGTCGACGGCGACGTCGCTGATTGCCTGTGACTCAAGTGAAGCTGCTGGCAACAGGCCACAGATACAGCCACAGGTGTACAGGTAAAGGGCGGCAGAGCGAGTTAAGGGGTAAGAGGGGATGGTGGTGGCAAAGGTACACAAGTACATTGCAGACTGGGGGCTGGGTACGGTTGAATGCGCCTCCAGCGAGCGTTTGAGTTTTTGGAACTTTGTTTGTTTGATGAAAATATGATAATTGGCAAATTTGACAAGGGAATTTTTCTTAAGTGCGTCAACGACAGCAACGTGAGAGACGTGTGCGCGACGTGTGCTGTGCCAGGAGGGGCGTGTGTAACTGCAGGAGGCGTGGCGCCGCAACAAAGTTGACAAGATAAAGTTTTGCGCCGTGCGGTATGCAACAAAATTTTTTAATGACAGCCATCTGGCTTGTGTGTGTGCGTGCCTGTGTACGCATGCGTGTGTGTATTTCTTATTATGTGATTAAAATTAATTTAATGGCGCGGTTTTTAATTGACGCATATGCCAAAGGCAGCCTCTACACACAAACTTGTACAGCGACTTTTTGCGTTAACTGTACACCAGGAGTTGCGATACGAGAGAAGAAGAAGCAACGGAAATAACAGTAGACAGGACTCAAATCAACATAATGCCAATTGGTAATTTGCGTGTCATTGCGTTATTTGTGTGCCACATTAATTTATAGACATATGACAAAAAAGTTGATTGGCAAAACTTTTGCTTTATTTATGTATTTTATCAATAAAATAACGCAAATGTGCCAGATTATGATTATTGACGGCAATAGAGGGCAATAGAGGGCGGCCACCGAAACACATATGCAATAACACATAATTGGCATTAAAAACGCATCAGCATAAATATATATGTATATAGATATGCATGTTAATGCGCATCGAAACATGTGTCCTTTAGCTGGTTTTGTAGAACATGTCATGCCTAGAAATGCTAAGCAGTTAATTTCATTATCAATCAAAAGGCAGCTCACATACCCTGCCCTCTATCCAACTAATTGCGGGGTCTGGGGTTGCGTGTTCGATTTTTCATTAGCATACAAGACATGTGAGAGCTGCTAAGGACAACAACCCCACTGTTAAAAGAGGAAGTAGCATATGACACAAGACGACAGCGAGGACAACAACGACAATGACGATGACAACGACGATGACGATGACGACGACGACGACGAAGACTCAAATTAATTGCATAAAAATGTTGTATACCCCATATAGACCTATTCAAAAAATCCCTTCTGGCTGGCATCTAATTGCCAACTCAATTGAGTCGCCCCACCTTTAAAAACTGGGAAATGTAAAAAATTTGTTTTGTTAAATAAACGCAATTAGCATGCGGCGCAAGTGTACGGGTATGCCAAGGGTTGTGCGTGGGTGCGTGTGAGTGAGTGTGTGTGTCTCTGTCTTAGTGTGTCTTACACACACACACACACACACACACACGAGCTCATTAATAATCAACTGCCATACACACACTCACACACACACACACACATACACACAAGCGAACGCCTTCAAACTACAGTCTAAAAGGTTTAAAAATTGAAATCTGGCAACAGCGCCTGCTGAAATGCGGCAACGCTGCACAGTACTTAGGTAAATATTAATAGATGAGTGCATCTACATATTTTTGTCATTTCGATTTGATTTTGTTTTATATTTTGAAGAGCAGCACGATTCGGCGGCCAGCGGCAGCCGGCAGGCGGGCGGAGGCAGAAGCTGGAGTTTTCAGGCACTGTTGAAGAATTATTAAAACGATAAATCAACTTTTTGGGGATTTTCGACACAACTCAAAAATCATTTGCAACCCTTTGCGCCAAAAACTTTTGCCTGTCCAATTCGTTGGCTGCCTGTGGCTTTGGCTCTGCGGCTCACTGGATGCCCATATATACGAAACGAAAGTAGAAGTCGGTGGTTAAGAGGTGGTTGGGTGGGAGGGGTTGCAACAACTACGTAGCAATCAAACAAAAACTATGAGATGAATGCTGTGAAGGGACGCAGCGCGGGGGGTTGCTATACACAAAGTATTGACTATAAAATTATGAAAATTTACATTTTTCCAACAATGGGAATAGTTGAATATTTTGGTAAGGGACTTTTGGACATTGACTGACAGTTCAGGCTGCTGCTGCCTACATGCGTGTGCGTGCGTGTGTGTGTGTGTGTGTGTGTGTGTGAGTGGCAGAGTGTGTGCCCAGCTGTTAATTGGCGTTGGTTTGTTACTTGCCCAAGAAGTGCATGTTGTGTGTAAAATAGACAGCGATATTCAGCTGATAGTCTATAACTGTATACATATATGCATATATTTATGTATATATATATATATATAAAATATAATAGAACAACAACCCTTGTGTTGTTTTTTTTTTTGTTGTGCAAAGGGTTGGGGCTTTTGCTGGCGGTGGGGTAGCTGTCAGAATTGTAAAAAGTTGCGTAAGTTATGCAAAAATAGACACAGACACACACTCACACACACACATATGACAGTCAAGCGGGCCAAGTGGTTGGGGAGCTGCCTTGGGTTTGGGGCTACGGATGGAGCTGGGGGATTGGTGTCCCAGGCAGAGACATTAGCATAGAGCCAAAAGCAAACGATTTGTAATTAACAAAATTGCCAGGCAGCCAGCGCGACGACAAGCAGGCAGCCAGGCAGGCTGCCAGCAGCCCCAAACAATTGACAAAGCAGTCAATACACATACGCAGACACACACGCACATGCACGCACACACACACAAAAGCACAAGACAACAGCAACAACAATAATAATAACAAACACTCGAAGGCAAAAGACGTTGATGGGCGAACACACACACACACACACTTGCACACACTCGTAGGCACAACAAAATGTGGCAGCAGGTGGGCGAATTGCTTGGGTCGATGCATAAAACGCCAAAAGGAATTAAGATGCTCTATGTATGTGCTGTGTGTGTGTGATTGCCACATTCATTCATATGGACTAGGGTAAAAAAGGGTTTAATCAGCGAACAGCAGCAGCAAAAACATCTCAGAGCTCACATATACAAGCGACCAATATACAAATACAAATTAACAATAAGCAATCAAAGACACAAGCACACACACATTCAGAGAAGAAGCTGCATGTGCGTGTATTATACATATATAAAAATTGTTGTAGCAGCCTTTTAGGCACGCCAGCTGCCAATGCCAAAAGCAACCGTCAAAGGAATTAAAACTCATTCGGGCATAAAAATTTAAAAATATATATGCATATATATGTATATATATATATATATAGAGATATGTATGTAAATAAAGCGAGGCATAGAGACAGCACACAATACAAAGAGCGTGCGAGAGAGAGAGAGAGAGCGATGCAGAGCGAGTAAAGGAAGCTAGCTTGGGCGCTATAAAAAAGGGGTTACTTTTCAAGCAGTCAGCTAAAGAGGCTTCGACTGCTGCTGCGACAGACAGTGGGCGGAGGTGTGTGTATGTGTGTGTGAGTGTGGGGGGGGGGGGGGGTTTGCTGTTAATTTCCAAAAAGCCAAAAGACAAATGAGTAAAGAGCAGCAGCAGCAGCCGCAGCGTCGTTTTTGCCATCTCAATGTCGTGTTTTTTCAATGTTTTTTTTTTTCTGCTGTTCGTTTGTCATTGATTTTTGATTGTTTCAAGTGTTGCCAGCAAAAGGGGTAGGAAAGAGGCCGGTGGTGGAGGGGGCGGGGGGTGTGAGCTGTTGCTGCGGCTTAAAGTCTGCCAAGTGCACCCCAGAGCTTTGACGCCAAAAGCTTTTGTCGTAGTCTTTATGATTGTTGTTGGTGCTGGCAGCTGGCAATGCCCAAGTTGGCAATTTGCAACAAAAGACAACAATGCAACAACAAAAAAAACGCGGAGTAAAAAGAAGAAGAGACGCAAAGGCAGCTATTATATAAATGTGTTTGAGTGTGTGTGTGAGTGCATTCGTGCAATGTCTTGGCATTTGCATTTGGTTCGATTTGCGTTTGTGGTGTGCTAATCAGACAGCTTGAGATTCATGAGTGTATTCATGGATGCATTCATGAATAAATGCAACGATTTGGTATTATTAGCAGCGCTAACAAATGTATTTATGAGTGCATTCACAGGTTATCAGTATTAATTGATGTCATTCACTGGCAGCTTTGTTAGATGTATTTGTGAGTATATTCATGGAAATATGCATGAGTGTATGCAGAGGTGGCGTTGATCAGGCATGTGAATAAATGTATTTGTGTGTGCATTTATTAGTTTATTTAATATTCGCACTTTAACTGCTTTATAGTGTGTCACGAATCATTCACAACATTTTTGAATATATATTCAATAGTGTATTTATGAGTATGTGCCTACATGTACATGAGTACATTGATCAATGTATGCATGCATGTTTTTTAT